ATATTCCATTAAGATTAATATAGTTAAAAGTAAACCCTAAAAAGTTTATTATAGATTAATCATAAAATTTTTTAATATAAATTTTTTTAAAAATTGCAAATTTTAGCTTCTAACTAATTTTAAACTTTTTAATATATAATTAAAAGATAAACTTACTATAATTTATTATATATTTATAAAATTAATTTAAAAAAAAAAATATTAATTATTTATAAAAGTAAATCAGAAGAGAATTTATAGTAAATAAGCAGGCAAATTTGCTTGTAAAACCCTACAATTAGATATATTCACAAATTCAATTGAATCAGATTGAGTTAACATTTTAATCTGATCAGGAATAATAATTTATTATGATAATATAAAGTAATTTTGTGTGTGATATAAATCAATTTTGTATTAAGTTGTGATTTAATTTTTATTGATTTTGTGTAATTTATAATATTTTTTATAATATTTATGATATTTTGTAATAATTATATATTATAATTTTATTATAATTAACAAAAAAAATTACAAATTATTTAATTATTTTGATTAAAATACATCATATTAAGTTATTTAAATGATTCTTTTGATAAGTTTTGATGATTATTATCTAATAAAATATTGTATAAAGAAAAACTATACTCAACAGCATAGTTTGGTGTAGGTAACCAAATTAGTGATACCTGACTAAACTCTTTTTTAAAAATTGTAATTTCGTTAAAAGTTTCGTCTGTTTAATATTTTTATATAAATAAATATAAATTATTATATTTTTTAATGTATTTTAATTCAAGGAATTTAGATCAAGTTAAATATAATTTCGGCAATTAAGTAAAATAATTTCGTCATTAATGAAAAACTAGTTTTGTCATTTCAGTTTCGTCAATTTTGTCATATTAAGAAAGGTAATTTCGTCAGGTATCACTAAACCAATTATAATTCAATGATATTTAATAAAGAATTGGTAAACACATTACTAAATTATTCCAATAAATATCTAATTTACTTTCATCTGTATTTTTATCAAATTCTAATCCATAATAAATAACTATTTATGTAATAAATCATCAGAAGGATTATTAAGTTCATTAATAATTGAATATTATTTCCTAAATGCATATATTTAAGATCAAAAATGTGAATTGCATGAAATAATGAATGAGTTGGATGATTTGAAATATGTAATTCAAATTTTTTGTATACTACTTGAAATGCTACTTGAAAAATAAAATAAAAATCTGATGAATTAAAATGAAGTCATATTATAAAATCTTCAAGTTCCATACCAAAATGAGTAACAATTTGATTAGATTCAATCATCTTGCAACATGTTTACTGTGAAGAATTTTACAGCTAATTTCATAATTTATGGATCACGAATAAATTGCGACTGAATGTGACTGAAAATATTTTATAATAAAATTACTATAAAATATTGCATGAATTATGAAATTAGCTGTAATTCTAAAAATTGCTAATTACTGTAACCCTTGCGTAAATAGAAATTGCACTTTTTTTTAAATTTAAATAAAAAAGTTAAAAAGAAATGGGTTTTCCAACAGAGGTTTTTATTGATTCTTGATTTAATTATAAAAATTTGACTATAATAAGTTTGATATAGCCAATAAAAATGTTATAATTATAAATGATGAATTGCTATATTATCAAACTATATTTAATCAAATTTCTCTCTTGAATTATTCCTCATTTTTAAATAAAATACATAATATTTTCTATATCCTTTTTCACTGGTGGACATGTGGGTCTTTCTTCATTTGATTCATTTGATGATCTTGATGCTTGGTCATCAAAATTAAGATATTGTTTCGCACGATTTGCAATTAAATGTGCATAGAATGCGGGTGTTACTATTGATATAGCCGTTGTACATCTAAATTAAATATTATATAATATTTAGACGGATTTATTAAGAAAAAAAAACGAGTAAAATAAAATTATTATCAACCTTGCATTTAAATAACATAGTTTATTCGTTAACGACTGCAAAGTATCAGCATTATAATCGTTTTCATCTCTCAATACACGATAATGAGATGAACGCCCAGTCCCTTGAAGGGTGGCATGAGATTGTAGAACTGTGTAATGTAGTTAGTTATATACTATTAATAACTTATTGAAGTATTTAAATAATGCATAATATAAAAATAGAAACTCACAAAAATCAAATTCATTTCTTGCAACAATTTCTGTATCAACAGTTCCCGGTTTGCAATTTCCATTTTTATCACTATCTTGTAATAAACATGGATGAATCCTAATTTATTGAAAAGAAAATTTAGTATAATGAAAAAAAAATAATAAATATAATAATAGTATAGACTGGATTACCTTGTATGATGTCTTTTTTGTACGATAATAAAAGTCAATTTTGGTGGTTTATCGCCATATTCACTTTCAAAGGCTCGTTTCAATGCTACTTCTACTTCTGTTTTTAAGATTATTTTAAATTGCCCCTCGCTAACTCCATCACGATAAAATAAAATTCTATTTGGAAGACATTCATTTTTAGCTTTGTAAGTTTTTAATAGATCAATAACCATTTCCTCTAATTTTTCAATAGTTTCATTACGTGGTTCAACTTGTATACTATGTCGACCACTATAAATTGTAGCATCGGTATCCATGGAGGCACAAACGGCAGCGATACTAGGTATATGTAATTCTTCTTTACCTGAATGGAAAACATCTGCACCTAATACCATTGTCTAGTTAATAATAAATGATAATTATTAACTTCAAAAATTTAATTGGAATTTGAAACCATATATTAATTAGTATGCTTACCGATTTAAGTCTATCTGTCCAGGAGTTAGGGTAAAGTTTTTACCTCCAAGTTTGGCATTTATTTTTAAACCAAGATTTACACAAAATTGCTCATTTTGGCGCTTCCTAAGGTGTTTAGCCAACATGCATTGAGTTCTCACACCTAAATCAATTTCTCCAGCACGTTTTATTTTAGAATATAATTTAGACCGTTCTTTCATTATGACTATAATCAACTGACATTGGTTTTGTGTATTATTTCTAACTTTAGTACTAATCCCTATAAAATAATAAATACATAATAAATATATAAAGAAAATTACATTATAGAATTAACAAATAATTTACCTCTTTAATATCTCTATGTTGATTCCAAGATACTATTTGTGGATCATTCGCAATATTCTATATAATTTTAAAAAATTATTAAAATTTTAATATTAGTAATATTTAAAAAAAGGCTATAAATAATTTTGTAATCTTACCATTCCCTTTTGACTTAGAACTTCACGTAATTGTCGCATAAATCCTCTAACACTACTCTCATTATCACCAGATAAAACTAACACTGACCAATTAATTAATGTCTGACCCTGATTTATTTTTGTTGACAAAAAGGTATTAATTATAAAATATGTTATTAAAACAAAATTTTATATTTACTTACATCAAAAACTTTTCGATTTACGAGATTCCAACGTCCTCCTTGTATAACTTGAACTGCGGGACTACTATTTTTATGAAATGTCATTGACACATTAGGAAGAACACGTCCTTAAGAAAATGAAAATTTTTCATCAATATCTTCTATTGTAAAGCACAAAATAATATAAATAATAATATTGAATAAATTGCCATTTTTGACTCTTACCTTTAACCTGTACTTGTGTATTAACATCAATATCCATATTAATAGATTTCAAAATCTCATCTTGATCATAACGAAAAAAGTTACGAAATGAGTTATCAATTATTTTAAAACGCTCAGCTGGTTTGACACAAGTATGTTTGATCATTTCAGCGCGAGCGTCATCAGAAAGAGAAAATTTGACGGGTTGATCTAAAAAATGAATGAAAGAAGCAAAGACAAAGAGGGTAAATATAGAATTTGTTTTGAAGATTTATCTAAATCCAACCTGGTAATATCTCGCAGCACTCTAGAGGAAGATAACTTTTTTTGGCATCAACAATACAAGGAAGTTTTCCAAACTCAAGCTTCTTTTTATATTTATTTAAAAAGTATTTAGTAACTGTAATATCTTTATCATCTTGCTTAAATGTGGTTCTATCTGCTACAGTCGTCGTTAAGCCATTAATAGTATATTTCTTTTTCTTTCGCCAAGATGCGAAACGTAAATTTTAACTCCTTTCAAAATCTATAAAATAATGATTAAATAAAATTTTTTTTTTTTAATGAAATCTTTAATCACTAATATATATATGTTTTCACCTTATTTAAATATTTCCTATCATCTTCTCTGATACCATTCTTCAAATCTCTTTTGTCACACCAAAAGAAGGTTGCAATAACATCCATGACATTTCCGGGTGGATAAATTATGCCAAAACTCGTGTCAACATTAACAAGGAGACGGTCTGTAAAAAAATTTAATAATGAATTAGTCAGATATGAGCTAAATATAAACACGTGATCTTTAAGATTACATACCCCATCCTATTCTCAAAGATTGAACGAATCCTTTTTTCAATTCCTCACCAGTACCCAAAAAAGTTCTTTGTACATCAGTTACAGGAGGAAAGTCTCCTCTTCCAACTGATAAATAGACACTGCGGACTTTGAAATTTAAATAAGTATTCAGTGCATTCATACAAGTTTGGATATCATCATCCGATTCATCCGATACTTTTCCTGAATCAATATATTTTTGTAAAGATTGTAAATTTATCTTTGTGGCACTTTTAATTTTTACGTCAAATTTTGTATGTTTGCCATTATTATCATCACTTGGTGGAAGATCAACCTAAATATAATTATAAAGTAAATAACTTTTTATTCTTAAAGACGCAGGAAATAAATGAAATAGACAATACAAACTTCTAATTTACTATCCTCTTTATCGTTTCCCATTGGTAATTTAGCTGAACAATATATCAGATCATTTCCATCATATACCGGAAAACAATTTCCAAATAATTTTTGCTTCATCATTTCCATAAAAATCTTTACTCGGACTGTTTTACTCGGTCGTCGACCACGAGGTGAAATGCTTTCAAAATTATATCGAATCAACTCCACATTTGGAAACTTTTTTTTTTATTGGTAAAGAAAGAAAAAGGTTTAAGGATATAAGCAATATTAATAATAATCGATATAATCGATATATGTTGAAAATACCTTTATAACATTAACGTAATTAGCACGAAGGAATACTGTTTTACCCTCAGTTCCTATGCCGGGTCTGAGTGGTGGAGGTTGTGGGGGTGGTGGTTTGGATTGTAAATTGAGATCTTGCAATTTTTTTTTCATTTTTTTTTTTTTTATAGTAAATAAACTCTTAATAAATTAATTCTAAAGGTAAGAAGAACAAGAACGATTTAAAGTATTTTTTTATAATTTTTGATCGTCGCACGAAATATATTCAAATACCATTTTGAAATGATCGTCAGTTTTTTACCAATTTTATAAACAATGACATTTTCACACGATACACAAAATTTTTTTAAATGCAACCTAACAGTATTGCTCAAGTAATTTATTTCTTTGTTTAATCATCAGATTCCACACAAGTAATGAAAAAATGATTAAAATTCAGATGTAAAACTTATAAATTCGGAACATGAGGCTTGGTCTTATTAGTCTTATCAACCAACATAATTACATTACAAGTAATTTATCTGCGGAGATTCTGAGCATTTCTTTATTATGTTTATAGTTAGTATCAGAAATTCTTTGCGAAACCAACTAGAAAGATATAATACTCAATTATCCAAAATCATCGCAAAATAGTTTTATTTTTCCTATATCAATAAAGTGCATATTTTTAATTGAGAAAACATTTTATTCTAAGTCAAAAAAAAACCAAACTCTAATTACTATGCACGTCGTATTTCTGCTGTTATTGACAATAAAGACAATCCTACAAAATACTAATAATAAAATTATAAAAAATATATTTATATGTGTCAAAGTGAAATTTCTGGCGTTTTCCAGGATCACGCTTTATTATTTACTATAAGAGAACTACAAAGATGTTAATCTAAACTGGAAGAGTTGATATCCAAATATAAGATAATAATTTACTAATAATTATAATAATTAGAAATTTGTTGATCGAAATAAAAAAATTGATCGCTATGCATTTTTGACAAAAATTTAACTTATTGATTTTATTCTTTTTCTCTTTTTCTAGACTTTTCATAGTCATAAATTTAAATATATTAACATTAATTAACTAAT